TCCCTACTGCTCTGAATAAAAACAATAAGGCCAAAATAAATACAGAAATATAGTTATTAAAGGAAAAATGAGATGATCAAAATGAAGGCAAAATAATTTACAGAATTTAGTTTTGGATCCCAAGTAACAAATAGATAAAGAATCCAATAACTAATGTGAGACGGTGCAGCGATACTTTTAAGGCTTCTTCAGCTGGATGGAGGCTTTTTTCTGCTGAAGCTCTCGTGACATTCTGTTTTGTGCCGTCGCTGCAGGCAGAGCTGAGGCAAAGGTGAGCTGTGACGGGTCAGAACATCAGCTGACACCTGGAACCCGTCGTGTTCATGGCTGTGGGCGGAGCTCAGACGGGCTGCGACACAGGACAGCAGGTTTGGCATCATTTCTGTGGAAACGTAAACCACGTTCTACCTCCTGAAGAGCTGCAAATGTTTGACCTTCCACACTTCAGGACACAAACACAGAACTGTACAAACAGCTGATAAGCAGCTGGATCCGGGCTGCAGATGTCACGCTGCAGAGCTCGCTTCCTTCTCTTCAGTGGGTTAGAGCTTTATGGGCAAACTTACAAACCCAAACACACTCTGATCAGCCGTCAGACGAAAGACCGACCTGACGTGAGCCCTGACAGTCAGCTGGTGTTGTGCTGCCTCCTGACTCGCCTCGGCTCTCCGGAACGCCGCCTCGATAAACATCTGTCTGACTCGGACTTGTTGACGCATTCCTTCACCGATGGTTGTACCTCGCTGGTTTTTCTCTTCACACCCAACAAGCCGGTCCTCAGAACATCAACACGCTGCAGCTACAGGCGACACAAAGGCCTGTCCAGGATGGAATCAGCAGTGAAACATCATGATCACAGCTGGGGTGGAGGTGGAACGCATTAAATCCTGTTTTACATACTTGCTGTTAAAACAGGTCATTTCCTTTCCTCTAACTGAAACACTTACTCTGAGGCATTTGCAGCTCACTCTTCACTTTAAAGGTCATCTAACATCACAGATTTTCCCCTCAACACGTCTGTTCAGGCACGTTATCTTTAACATATCCTCAAAATTACACCATCCTTCACATTTCCCCACGGTCCCTGAACTAATCACGAGTGTGGCAAAGTTACATCATTGAAAACAACCTTAAAATCTGAATATTTGATTAAAATCAACCAAAAATAAACCGTTTTCAGCAACGAGATTCTGCAAAAAAATAAAAATTCTGAGATTCTCAACGCAACCAAGAAGCCACGACTGACTCAGCTGTGACCCACAGTCACATGACTAAAAACCTGAGAGTTTGAACTGCAGCCAGAGGTTCCTCAGAGAGACTGAAG